TGTTTTGGAGAATGACCCATGTGCAGCTGAAAAGAATGTGTATTCTGATTTTGTGGGGTGGAACACTCTGTAAACATCTGTTAAGTACATTTGTTCAAGAATTTGATTGAGTTCTAATATTTCATTGCTTGTTTTTTGTCTAGTTGATCTATTTGTGACAGTTGGGTATTGAGGTCTCCCACTATTTTATTAGTACTTATTTGATTTTTCATGTCCATTAGTATTTGTTTTATATAGTTGGGTGCACTAGTGTTCAGTGTATATATATTTATGATCGTTATCTCTTCCTCTTGGATTGTTCCCTTTACAAGGATGTAGTGACCTTTGTCTCTCTTAATCAGTGTTGGTTTGAAATCCACTTGATCTGCAAACAGGATAGGTACTCCTGCTTTTTTGGGGTTCTTGTCACAATGAGTATTTTTTCCACCCTTTAAGTTTTAGTCTATGAGTTTCTTTTTGAATTAAGTGTGTTTCCTGTATGCAGCATATTGATGGATCTTGCTTTTTGACCCATTTTGCCAGTCTGTTTCTTTTGGCAGGTGAATTGAGACCATTAACATTGATGTAACTGATACATTGACTTATCCTTGTCATGACTTTTTCTTTTCATTGAATTCTCCCCCTTTGCATTTTATTTCTTGTCATGCCTGATGGATTCATTCTGCTGGGGTTCCTAGAGTTGTGATCCTCATTGTCTTTTCCTAGGATATTGTTTAAATTTTTTGATAGAGCCCCAGCATTCCGTTGGTAAGATTCCAGGGAGTAGCTGTGAGGGCCAGACCAATGTGGCTGCACATGTATCCCAGCCAGGGCTCTGCCCCGATTCCAGAGGCTCCTGCACACCCACCCAAGCCAAAGTCCTGCCCAGAAAAGAGTGACACAGGTGCACAACTTCAGCCAGAGGTCTTCCATACCATTGGCCACAGTCAAGCATCCACCTGGAAAAAAACTGCAAAGGCACACAAGCAATACCCAGAGGCTCTCCCCAGTAGCATTGATAAGTGTATGGAGACCCTAGCCTAAGCCTGTGCAGACAACAGGAACTGGGGAGCACAGCCCCCAACCAAAGTCCCTCCCAGACATTAGCTACATAGGGGCTCCTCCTAGAGGCACACCTAGATACCAAACCAAGTGTGCACAGGCCCCAGCCAAAAGCCCACCCAGACAATAGGTCAGCTCAGGGATCCAGAAGGCCATCACTCTGAGCCCAGGAATTGGTGTACTGGTGAGTAGCACAGTAAAGGCTGCAATAACAAATGCTGGAGGGGCTGTGGGGAAAGAGGAACCCTGCTCCACTGCTGGTGGGAGTGTAGACTGGTGCAACCCCTGTGGAAATCAGTATGGAGACACCTCAAAGAACTAGGACTAGAGGTCCCATTTGACCCAGCTATTCCCCTGCTGGGTATCTTCCCAAAAGAATTAAAAGAATCATACCACAAGGATATATTTGCACTCATGTTTATAGCAGCACAATTTGTGATAGCTAAAACTTGGAAGCAGCCCAATTGCTCATCAACTGGATACTGGATAAAGAAAATGTGTTTTTTTTTTAAATAAAATGGAGTATTACTCAGCCATAAAGAATGAGAAACTAGAGACATTTATAGCTAAATGGGTGCACATTGAAGAGATACTCTTAAGTGAAATAAATAGGACACAAGTGTAAATACCGAATAGTTTCTTCAGTGTGAGGAACTGAAAATATATATAATGACTAAAACATATAATAGATAATGTGAATTAGGAAGAAAAGGTGGAAAGGGGAAGGGGTAGGGGAAAAGAAAGAAGGGAATGGAATTAATATGAGAAAAAGAAAAAATGGAAACAAAGTCTTTGTAGATAGTGAGGGTTGGAGGGGTTGAAGGGAGGGCAGGGGAAAGGGGAAGAAATAAGAACCAAGATGGATTATGTAAAGGTGCAAATTTCCAATGATGAATGTCATCCTATATTGTATACCTTAACTGTACCAATAAAATTAATTTTAAAAAATAAAAGTACTATAACATCTTAATTAGTGTATTTGATTTCCACAGTAATAAAATTCACGGTCAGCTACAGTAAACAAAAAGAAAGAAAAAAAGAAAAATCGTGAAAACTAAACCATGAAGTGCCACCTTTGAGCCTCATTTCTCAGTAGATACTTTCATTTAAAAAAATTGTTTTTCTTCAATTTTAGTACACAAACAGTTCAGAGACTATCTTCTTCTAAGCTTTGCACAATTCCTAGTGCATGTTTGAGCATAACAATTACCCAGCAAAGAGAAACTTGGGGATGGTTTAATAACAGTCTTCAAATATATGAAAAGTTATTACACAGAACATGATGACCAGCTGTTCCCTAATTCCACGGAGGACTGAGAAAAATAAATAGGCTGAAAATTACAGGGGCTGACAGTTTGAGGTAAATTCACCGAAGATCTTTGCAGACTATAAAATTCACTGTAGAAAACCTAAAAAGGGTTCAGGAACTATGCTATACAAAAAAAAAAAAAAAAAAGCTTCACAGAGATTCAAGGGATATAGGTCCTAGTGCTAATGAGAACCTGTGTACAAACCATTCTCCATCCAGGCTGTTTTCCAATCTCTAAAATCTTCCACAAGTTCTTCATTTTATAGTGAGGTCATAGTGTGACCAGAGTTCCCCTGAGACTCAGTAGTCTTTGGGCACAAACAAGGTCACTTCACAGTAGTGGTTCTCACCTCGGGGACAATCCTGCCTCCTGAGGTACATCTGACAATGACTGCAGAGATTTTTCTCTGTCACAACTGGAGAAAGGAGAAAGGAAGATACCCCTGGCATCTAATGAGCAGAGACCAGTGGGATTGTTAAATATCCTATAGTGATGAGGACAGGAGTGTATAACAAAGAATCACCTAGTTCATTTTGAGCTGCCCTGCTTGAGTAAGAGCATAATTTTTCTTTGGACAACTACCCATACCACCCCACATTTCAGTGCACAGAATTATCCTGTTGATTTGATAGTCCTCAGGCATAGGCAGCTACTACTATTTGTTGCTCTTTCTAGCTTTCTGCTGCTTGGGAACACTTCCCTATCCCCTCGGAAGTTGATCTGCTCTGATGGTTAGCACTGACTGCCAGTTTGATTGGGATGAGGAACACCTAGGATATTAGTAAAGCACAATTCTGTGTGTGTCCCTGTGGGGTGTGGGAGCATGCATGAGCTTGAGGACTGTCTCTGGCCCCTGGTCCCTTCCTCTCTTGACTCTTCCTTCCTCACTCTGCCTCCTGGCTGCCATGGAGTGAGCAGCTTTCCTCCAACAGCCCTTTCCACCATGATGTTTCATGGGCCTAAAAGCAACTGAGCATTCTGAGCACAGCCTGAAACCTTTCAAATAGTGATCCAAAATAAACCCTTTCTTCTTTGTGTATGTCAGATATTTTATGCCAAAAATCCCCAGAAAGTTGATGAATATACTTGCTTTAGCCAACAAAACATGAGTGGCAATGTTGAGCTCAACCTGAAGGGTCAATGGGTCATGGGTGATTCACTCTACTACAACTGTCTTGGAAACAATTCCTGGTCATGATGAAGACTTGTCCTTCTTGCTTTTTCAGTTACAATGATGAATAGCACACCAGCCTACCACTTGGCTGTGAACTGTCGGACATGTGAGTCATGTGAGTCCCATAGTTAGGCCAATGTAAGAGGGTCAAAGATATGATTTTAGAAGAACATTAAGTTAAGAGTGAAAGTTGTCAAGTCAAACCTCCTTGATTCAATCCTGGAATCACCACTTCCGAGCTATGTGACCTTGACGAAGTTTGTTCACTTAGTTTTTTCCTTTGCATTGTACCTTCCTTGTGTGTAAAATGAGGGTAATTTAGAGCATCTTTCTTTGTGGTCAAATGAAAATTTCCAATTAGAGTACTTAGTGAAGTGCCTTATTTACCAAGCACTTTATAAATATTGGTCACTTCATCTCAAAATAGCTTTGTGAGAGAATCACTCATTATCCCCACTGTATGGATGAGGAAATTGAGGCACTAAGAAGTTAGGGACCTTGCCCACACCCTCAGAACCGGTACATGGAGAAGCAGTATTCAAACTCCAGCTGTCTGACTACACAGCCCATGACACAGGACTGTGACAATCATGATGATGATAATGAAGAAAACAGTAATGATGATGAGTATGTTACTGCTTCAAAAATATGACCTATTGGGCCACTTTGAATTACAGTCAAGTATAAGACTAGATGTACCCTCAGACAGTTCATAGTCTATTAGGACAATGAGCCATGAGCTTCGAAAGTTCCCAGGGATGGTAGAGTGTGATAAGTGCCATAAACCAGATAAAGATAAGTGCTTTGGTAATTTTATCAAATCTCTCTCATTTAACCCTCAGTTAACCTGAAAATTCAATTAACCAGCAGCATTACCCATATGCTGCCATTAATAAGTTTTTATAGTATCAGTTGAACTAATTTAACTTTAACAAGCAGATGATTGCATATGGATTGCAACAGGATTTAGGAGCCCAATAACTCAGAAACTGGCTCCACGGCTAAATGCTTCCCTGTAAGAAAAGATACCACCACTGCCAGATAGCAAGGGAGGAGGAGAGAATACAGTGAGTCTTAGCACAACATGGTAAGGAAAAGAGCAAATCTCGCTTTATGGAAGACTAAAGTAGGTCAGAGGGAAAAGAAAAAGCCATTGGCAACCCTAATGTAATCTGGGTAACGTCTGTCACAGCAGATGGCTCTGCTTTTCTAGCAGACAGTCCAAAGGACAGGAAGTTGTGAGGCAAGGTGTGCCCAGCTATGTAAAACCGACTGTGAAGACAGATGAACAATCTCTGATGGAGCCTCCAAGCAAGCTTATAAGATGGGGCTCAAGAACTAAGATTTAGGATGTACGCAAGAGACCATGGAGACTGCATTATTCTCCCCATAGAAAATCACCTTCTTTCCTTCCAACTTGGGAGGACCCAATTCATCCATCAAGGCCCAACTTGAGTGCCCTGGGAACTGTCCCAGAAACATGCTAGCAAAAATTACAGTGTCCGTTTTCTGTATTCATTCGATCCTTTATTTATCTCTTCTCTGTACTAGTATTCACATCACAATTTATACAATGGGCTTTTCTAGACAGGAGAGATTACTGTGGTCCTAAATACTTACCAGAAGTTTTGTAAAGAATTAAAAGAATCATACCACAGTGATATATGTGTGCCCATGTTCATAGCGGCACAGTTTGTAATAGCTAAACCTTGGAAACAGCCCAAGTGCCCATCAACTGCAGACTGGATAAAGAAGATGTGGGTTTTTTTTTTTTATAAAATGGAGTACTACTCAGCCATAAAGAACGACAAACTAGAGACATTTATAGCTAAATGGATGCACATTGAGGCGATACTCTTAAGTGAAATAAATAGGACACACATGTGTAAATACCGAATAGTTTCTCTGGTGTGAGAAACTGAAAGTGTAAATAAGGACTAAATGTATAATAGGTAATGTGAAATAGGAAGAAAAGGTCCAAAGGGGAAGGGGAAGCGGGAGGATTAGGGGAAAGGAATAAATATGAGAAAAGGAAAAATGTGAACAAAGTCTTTGTAAATAGAGAGGGGTGGAGAGGTTGAAGGGAGGGCAGGGAAATGGGGAAAAAAGTAAGAACCAAGATATATCATGTAAAGGTACAAATTCCCAAAGATGAATGTCATCATATTGTATACCTAAAATCCACCAATACACTTAATGAATAATAATTTAAAAAAAAGAAAATAAAAAGACCTAAATGCACACAGAGGTCCAGAGCATATCTTTCGAGACAATGATTTCTAGACTCTTTTCCAATTTTAGGAACCATGTGCCCATGCTTGTCGTTCACTGGTACATAATGCTTATGTATCATGTGGTAAAAATGAATTTTATGATATTCCTTCCTCAGTCTTAATAAAATAAGAAGATTGTGCCCCAAGAAAAAAATGTCAAATGCCAGATCAGCTAAGTGAAACTTTGGTTGGATGGAGGCTTTAAAGGCAGTGAGATATAAGAATTCAGATTTCACTTAAAAATAAGACTAATTCCATTAACATGTGACAAGAACGAACCAAAAGTTCATCAGCTGAGCCAATTTTTCCCAGTTTGAGAGCATACTTAAGCAATGGAATTGGAACATAGCTCCTTGAAGTGTTTTTCTTCATCTTGCCCAGCTGGAGTTCATCTTCCATGCTCTATTCTCTAATGACACTGTATTTCTCCGTTTTAGCACTTTTAATTGCTATGATAGTGTCTGCTTCCCCAATAAGATTAGGATCCATGTTTCTCCAAGAATGAAACTTTACTTGTGTATCTTGAACCCCAATGAAAAGCCTTCAGCTGATTTCAGATACATCTTTTTCAATAGAGCAATGAACGCTCTTATTCTGCTATAAAGGAGAAAATGGGACTTGTTCCTTCATTAGAATCAAGGATTATGGTTGACAAGGGTCATCAGATGGAGCTCAGCAGCCCCTAGATTTATTGTTGCCAGAAACACTTGGAGAAGTGAAAGTCCCCAAATTAACATCAGCAAATCAGAGGTCAAACCTTTGCTTATAGATTAGAATCACTCGCATTTTTCAGTCACCCTCATAAACCAATTCCAGCCAAATAATGCTGTGAGTATGTGGTCTCAGAGAACAACTGAGCAAATGAATTCCTTGGCATTTCCCTCCCGAGATTTGTAACAAGCTTGCACTGAATGTTGCATATGAAACCTGAAGCCAATCAATGATTTCTTTTTCAGTGAGTGTCTGTGAGAGTCTAGGCAGGCCTGTGACCTGAGTCACTCTAATTAGAAGTGTTTCTGCTTCCTACAGCACCATCTTCACCTTCTCATTAAAAGACTATTACCCAGTGTCCATTTCAGTCTATTAAGCATTTAGTAACGTAATTGATATGGAAGGTGAGAAATGACGAATCTCACTCTATATTTCCAGGTGATACAAGTGAAATTCAGCTGCAGAAATTCTTGTATACTATATGACTTTAAATTCAAAATAATCATATGAAATTCCTTCCCTGCTACATGTTACAATTTCCACTGCTCTTAGGGTGGAACAAGTATGAATATTTGCACTAGCACTCTCAGGTTAGTGTCTCTGGAGATAAAGGCTGTCAGGTCTGAAGGAGGATAGAAGCCAGAAAAATCAACTTAGAGATTAGATATTCACTCTTCATCCCAAAAACAGTTGCTAGAGCACCACCCTATAAGGAAAATCACAGGAGGTCCAATGGCAGGTTTTTGTTCTTACCTTGTGGTGCTACCATCTTAGAGCTAGAGGTCACCTAAGTAATCCTCTCCCTGCTGGAATTTTACAGCATTGATAACTGAGACTCGATCTACAAAACCTGCCCAAGAACTGATGCCTAGGGAATAACACAGGCGAAACATTTTATATGGAAGAAGTGCTCACTTATTTAGTTACAGTTATGTCCTCCACTAACATTGGTCAAAACTTTCAGTAGTTAGTCTCCACGACCTATACTAACTCCCATCTATATTCTGCCAACTGAGATTCTCCAACTGGTATTTTTTCTTTTTTATTTCTGTCACTACTGTACTTATTTACAGTACATAATGACTGCATTCATTGTGGGGAATTGGTAGATATACATAACACACCTTAATTCTTTTTTATCCACTTCCCCTCCCTCCTTCTCCCTGTTCTCTACATCTCTTAGTCCTCTTCCCTTTTGCAAAAGATTTGTCTCTTTTTCCTATTTTCCTTTTTTTGCTTTTATTTATATTTTAAGTTTCTCAGATAAGAGAAACCATGTGATATTTAAGCTTCTGCATCTGATTTATTTCACTAAACTTTAAGATGCCAAGGTGCATCCATTTTCCTACAAATGACTCGTTTGTCCTTCTTTATGGGAGAATAGTACTCTGTTGTATATAAATACCACATTTTCTTCATCCATTCATTTGTTGTTGGACATATGGGCTGCTTCCACGATTCAGATATTATGAATTGTGCTGCAATAAACATGAGTATATGTTTGATGTCTTAATATGATGTCTTTAATTGTTTCAGAAAGATACCTAGAAGGAAAATAGCTGGATTGAATGAAATTTCTATTTTTAGTTTTTTGAAGAATCTCCATACTTCCAACTGGTATTTTAAGTAACAAAAAATAGCAAACCGTTCCAAGCATTATGGTTGTTGTGGGGAGTTAAATAAAACATCGTCCGAGAAGAAAATAAAGATGCGTTTATAGAGAAAAACTTGGACACTGGTTTCCATTTATGGTAAGAAGGGTTATTTTGCTTTGGCTGGGGGAAATAATTCCAAGAGTCCTGCTAATAAAAACAAAAAATATAAACAAAATAGAAGAATTGTTGTTTGAAAGGGTCAGAGAAGTAGAAAGGCTATGAAAAGTTACGCATCCAAGACTGGAGGAGGAAATCCTGAGTGATGGGTGAGACACGTGCAAACTACCTTTGACTTTAGGGAATTTACCAAATTGGAATAAACAAGTGAGGCTGAGAATCACTTTCACTAGCCTTCTAGGAGTCAGAGAAGAGATGAGTACAGTACCTGCCAGCATAAGCACTCTAGTAAGCCCCCATCGCTGCTGGTGACATTTCTAAAACAAGTGCACTAAAAAGACGAGGAGCTGGAAATGAACGAGCCTC